AAGAATTTTTCCCTTATTATCATCACCGTAAGTGACGTATCCTTTGGCCTTTAATGATAGACTTGAAAATTTGTTTATGTCTCCCATCATATGCTTCGAGCAACCACTATCAAGATACCATTGATTTGTGGTTGTCTTCAAGCATGCCTCATTTTCGTCATCGAAATGGTGAGAGGCCATTAAAGCCATATTTGCGCATTCATCGCTATCTGATTCTGATGATGAACTCACTTTGTTGTCGTCCCATGCGACATAAGCCTTCTTCGTTTTGAAATCCTTCTTGCCTTTGAATTTTCCTTTATTTGCGAGTTTCGGGCAATCTGGCTTTATGTGACATTGTTTCCCACATTCGTAACATGTAATTTCTTGGTTTGATGTGGGTGCCTCCTTTTTCCTGAAATGTCTATTCTTTTTAGAAAAAGACGAAATTTTATTATTATTAAAAAACTTACCAAGCTTCTTTACTAGAAGCATGAAATTTTCGTCTTCGGAAGATTCGTCATTTTTATCATCCCTTGTGTCAATCTTCAAGGCAATTCCTTTGGACTTCTTGTCTTGACTTTCATGTTTCTCAAGCCTTCCAAGTTCCAGTTCATGCTCTTGAAGTTTTCCGAATAAGGAAGCGGATGTCATTGTTGAAAGACTTTTCTTTTCCGAAATGACGGTCACCTTTGGTTGCCATTCTCTTGTCAAGGATCTTAGGACTTTTAAGTTGAGATCATCATTGGTGAAGGTCTTCCCGAGAGCAATCAGATGATTTGTTAGATGAACGAACCTTTTTTGCAAGGCAACAATAGATTCACCGGGCTGCATACGGAACATCTCATATTCTTGACTTAACGTGTTAAGTCTTGATCTTTTTACTTCTGCTGTTCCTTCATGTGTTTCTACCAAGGTATCCCAAATCTGTTTTGCCGATTGACACTATGATATGCGAAAGAATTCATCCATACTGAGAGCGCTTTGAAGTATGTTGATTGCTTTCTTATCATTCAAGATTCTCTTTTTGTCATCTTCATCATATGAGGATTTTATCTTTGGAGTTCCAACACCATTTACCACACTTGTAGGAACATGTGGACCAGTTTCTACGATTTCCCATATACCATCTCCTTGAGCCTCAAGATGTGCCTTCATACGGATTTTCCAAAAGTCGAAGTATTCTCCAGAAAAGAGTGGTGGCTTGTTACTACTTCCACCATCTTTGAAAACCGGGTTAGTACTAGCGGAAGCCATTAGGATCGATAGGAACAGGTTACCTTAACCTGCTCTGATGCCAATTGTAAGTACAGAGTATGCCTAAGAGGGGGGGGGGGGGTGAATTAGGACTTTAGAACTTTTTCCGGTTTTTATGGTTTCTTAAAATTTTACTGGTTTGTGTTCTTGGTTATGAAAGCAGTAGAAAGTAAAAGAACAGTGAACACCAGGATTTATAGTGGTTCCCCTCACAATCCGAGAGTACTCCACTCCCCTTTCAATATGAAAGAGAGTTTTCACTATTGTTTAATAAAGTACAACCTATCACACCATCAACCGGTGAGGCCTACTATCAAACAATAAAACTAACAAGTGTACAAGAACAATTCTCTTGTAAACACTCACCCTTGTGTCCAACAATCCTGGATCACAAGTTAGAATACAAATACTTGTAATGATTTTGTTTTGTGAATAATAATATCAATCAAAATTGATCTTCTCCAAATGATCAAAATTCACTCTTATAATTTTCAACACAAGTGTTCAACAGATGAATATGAAATTTTTATGCAATTATGAACACTTATAAAGGATTTTGAAAAAGGTGAATTTGATTCTAAGAATATTTGAAAATGAATGTTGGAGGTGTTTTGAGGTGTTTTTCAAAATTGAAAAACTCAGAATTTATATGTGTAAACACACCTTTTCCAACAGGTATATTTGAGTGCATTTCAAAATATGAACTGGTACAATTTTCAAACCATTTTTGAACTTGAAACAAAGCCATTTTTCAAAATTCGTTCAGTGTTAATCGGTTAACCTATATGGTTAATCGGTTAACACTTGAACGTTATACAAAAATATTCAAAATTTGAAATGGTTAACCGGTTAACCTATATGGTTAATCGGTTAACACTGCTATTTTTCAGAAAAATACTTATAAAAATAGTGTTATACCAATTCTAATAGTTTTAAAAGATATGCTTATGCAATGATTAAATGACAAAGATGTTGAACACTTGTATATCAATTAAATTAATGAATTTTGATATACCGTAGCTTGTGTCCAAAACTTGAAAGTTGATCAGTCAAATGTTCATGAAGCTTTGAATGTTGATCACTTCCATTCCACTTGATCTTGGTCTTTTGAAAGCGTTTGCCTTTTTGCACAGATGAATTATTCTTGATCTTGATGTTGACGTCATCGAAAATTTGAGATGAAGCTTGCTTCTACAGTTCGGTGCAACATCACCTACATTTGGGGGCATCCAAGCTAGGAAAGAAATCCATTATAATAGTATTAGTTCAAAGCCACAACAAACACCTATAGGTTTAAAAGCTTCTCACCTAATCACTACCCGTGCTAACTTCTACCTACGAACTCCTAGATATGAGACCCCTCTCACTTCCCACTAGTCACACAACAACGGTAAACTCAACAATGAAGAACAAAAAGAAGTCACACTTCAAAGACACAAAATCTACTATTTGCTTAAAAGCTTATGAGTGAATTTTTACAACTCAAAAGAAACAGTCCAGCTTTCGTATCAAAGAGATATAATAAAAGGCTCACAATTAACAAATAACACAGTCCTACTCAGATGTCAAAAGACATAAGAGAGGAACACAAAGAACAAAACTCTCTAAACCCTAAAAACTCTTTCTTTCAATACACGACTTCTCTACTTCATTAGATTTAAAAAAACTCCTTTAAATAGACATCACAATAGCATGAGCTTGGGCTCTTGGAACGCATATTACAAGGCATCAACTTTAAATCACTTGCACGGGCTTCTGCATAATAATAGGAACTAAAAATAAAGTTTTCTAAAAAGGCTCTTCTTGGATTGCGACACCGTGTGAGTTAAAACACTATCAAATCTCACACTTTAAATACCAAATCATCCATGCCATAAACTTCTGGTATAACATGTCCTGACCACATGTCCCAACATCATGCTGTTTGACTAACTTGTCACAACATCTGTCTCAACATGTTGTTGGAAATTGTTTTAACAAAATTTTTGTCAATCCAAAATCACAGAACTTACAGTTAGCTTAGTAGCTTATAAATAGACTATTTCTCTCATGTTGATTAGAGAGAGTTTGGTTGTTGATATTCACTTGTAATCTTTGAATCCTAATATAAAAAGTGAATAGTAAAATAGTTATAACCAATCATGATTCTTCTTCTTGCTTCTTCTCTATCTTATATAAAACCTAATAGGGTTTCTTATGTTTATTCAAGAAATTCAATCTTTCTCATATTTTAATTTGTTTTTGACGACATTGATTCACAACATTTTCTAATTACTTAAGTAAGTTTTTTAATCAATTAGTCTTAGAACAAAATTATTTTAAATAATATTTTGAAAATATATGAATTTTTAGAAAAATATTTAAGTATGCGTACATTAATTTAGTAAATTGAAAGCTACTTATACTTATTACAAACTAATGCTCTTAAATAAAAAAAATCAACTAAAGAACAAGACTTACGTGATTTTTACATATATTTCACTTTCTTTGACGTTGTTTTTAACATTTGATTGTCTTGCTCCAAACATATGAACTAAATCACTTTTTCATTTACTTTAATTTTTTTTATTCTTTGAAGATGCTTATGCTAGTTATTACTTTATTCTCTTTGTTATGATCAAACCGCCAATTATCTGCACATCTCATATAACTATAACTGCAAGTTCTTAATTTAATTTAATTTAACTTGGTTTAGATTAAGAAAGATCTTACAAACCTAACCCCCTAAGTTATTTATGGAAAATTGTTCAAAAAATTATATGAGTTTATCTCATAAAAAAATGAGAAATTGTTGAACCAAAAATAATTTAGAGAATAACTACCTTTATTTGATGGATTTTATGATAACAATATAATTAATAACAATTGATACTCTAATATATATTTTTTGATGTGTAACATATTTGCGATCATCTATATAAAAATAAAGACATAATTTTTTGAAAGTGAAAATTTTATATGAAAAAATGAATCATACTGTTTAAAATTAAATATAACATTTTCAAAAGTGTAAGCAAAAAATTCACATTACTAATTAAATCTCACATGGTTCAATAAACAAAATGACAAAGCACTTTGAACGTTCTATAACAGCCATGATTCAGAACCAGAATATTCCATGCATGAACATGAAAATACCATCAATCCCTAAAGATTTTTCAAGTAAAATAATTCACGAGAAATATAATAATAATAACAACAAAAAGGAATTTTTACTATTTTGTCATATTTCTTTTTTCATTATAAGCACTTTATCGTGACGTTGACAAAACAATTAACTACTTAAAAAAAGTAAAAGTATTTTTTAAAATTTCTTTTATAACTTCCACAACCGGAGGAAGGGCATCTCAGCAATTGCTGTAAATTAATATTTTGTTGAGGAAAAGATGCCACGTGTCTTACTCTGGATCTCTCTATCTCTTGTTAATAACGCCACTGAATTTATTTTTTTTTAATTTTTTATTTATTTTGTTATGGACTTCATATTTTTTAATTTTGATTATTATAAATTTATTCATTTTATATTCCCAAAAAAAGAATGTGAGAAATAAAATAAAAAATAAATGAAAAAATAGTTGTAGTTGGAAACTACCGAAATATAGAGTTTCTGTGCTTTCTTGTTTGCTTATCCTCTTCCTTCTTCTTTCACAGAAGAGAAGAGAAAAACAGAGTAGCACTTTTGGCTAAGAAACGACGTCGTTTTGTGCACTTTCCACACTCAATTCTCTAACTTGCAGTGTCAAAGTATCATCAGCACATTACCAATGGCTATGAGCGGTTTGATTTCTAACCGCAACTTCGGTTCCTTCGTTGCTTCAGGTTCACACTCAATTCGAACTCCTTTGCATGCATTTTATGAATTGTGCATTTTTACCGCAAGATTTGGTTTATTTTGCTAGTGTTGCATAGAGCAAATTCTTACTAGGATTATGGTATATTTGTTGATTTTATCTGTTTAACGGTTTTTGATTGCAATGGAATTTATGCTCATGAATTTAGTAACTATACACTGGAACTAGAAATGGAATTAACACTTGCATTTAATTTAAGTATATAATTTTATTGTAAGAATGTAAACAGATTGTAGAAATTGATATTATAATGTATGGCTAGATAGTAAAGTATGAATGGACGGTTATGTTAGTTATGGTTATTAAACTGAAATCCATATATGTTTTGTGATTAATCAGTTAATTATAGTTATTAAATGGTGATTTTGTTAAGATGAAATGTCTTTAAGCTTGGATTATGTTGAAAAGAGTTCACTGTTGTAAAGTAAGAAATTTTGAGCCGTTGTTTTGTATTGGCAGGGAATTCATATATATCGCAAAAGGATTCGTCACTTCAAAGAGGGGGAATTTCTGTTTCTAATTGGATTGGGAAGGAGAGAGTTTCGAGATGCCAGTACAGAATGCATTGTCGTATTGATTCCCCTTTGGAAAAGAGGGTTTCTAAACAAATACAAACATTCAATAACAAAGGGGAGATTGTTTCTCCATTATCCCGACACTCCAGCCGTTGCTTGAACTTCAAATTAAAAGCTTGCATAAAAAGTTATTCTTACCTTTCTTCAGCTCCCTTTAGCAGTAGCAATGTTGGACAAAGGAAAGTAAGTACGTTTCGTGCTAGTTACAAGTCTGAGGATAATGACATTGGAGAACCGAAGATTGATAGGCTGCAATCAACTGAAGGGATGGGTGAAGCCATTCTTTTGGAAGGAAATCTTAATCAGATATCTCCTTGGTGGCAGCAGTTTCCTAAGCGATGGGTTATTGTACTGCTATGTTTTACAGCATTTCTTCTGTGTAACATGGATCGCGTGAGTAACATTTTATTTTGTTTATAGCTTCGGTTACTATGCTATTTATATGTTCGTGTTTATCTTTGACACTATTCAATAGGTACATTTCTTTCGTCGTGTTCAATTGATTATCACTGCAGGGTGTTTGGTTACTTGAATAGAAACCATGTGTTTAGTTGATCACTATTCCTAGTAGCCTAATTTGTTTCATTACTCAATCAACTAAGTAAAGAAAAAAAATTGTTTTACCTTTTGTAGTTGTATATGTTAGTTGCTAATAAGAAAGATGTTTGCGGAAATTGAAATTTGAAATACTGTTTTCAAAATTCTACTTTTCTTTTGCATAAGTTAATTTTAGATTTTTTCTCGAACTATATCAGGCATTTGTGTATATTTGATCAATTGTTTCTATAATTCCACAATCTTACTAACCTAACGTTACTGATATGCTATACATTTCCATTTTTATAGGTAAATATGAGTATTGCAATACTTCCAATGTCTCAAGAGTTCAACTGGAACAGTGCAACAGTTGGCCTCATTCAATCTTCTTTTTTCTGGGGTTATCTACTTACTCAGGTTTAACTGTGATATACATAAAGTCAGTTACCTTAACTAGAAATTAGTCTTGCACTTTCATATAACACTCTTCTAGTATTTTAAGTATTACTGCTGGTTGAACCTTCCATAACATGTTTGCATCTAGCAAGTTCTAATGATCAAAGTTCCTTTTCATTTCTCCAACTTTACTTAAGTTGTTCTGATTATATTGCTTTTGTACTGACTGAATGATCTTTGGGTTTAGATTGTTGGTGGCATTTGGGCAGACAAAGTTGGTGGAAAGCTAGTACTTGGTTTTGGAGTTGTATGGTGGTCAATTGCAACAGTTTTAACACCTATTGCTGCAAAACTTGGGCTTCCATATCTGCTTGTTATGCGTGCCTTTATGGGAATTGGCGAGGTTGGTCCATGTTATTGTGGGAGTGGGTTTATGTTTAAAGTTCAAGTTAAGTACAGAAATGATTTTTGCTCTTATAATCTGGCAACAAACTTTTCTGATTCTTTGTTTTCAGGGTGTTGCTATGCCTGCAATGAATAATATACTTTCCAAGTGGGTTCCAGTATCAGAGAGAAGCAGATCACTTGCACTAGTGTATAGTGGCATGTACCTTGGTTCTGTCACAGGATTGGCATTCTCACCTTTTCTAATCCACAAATTTGGGTGGCCATCAGTGTTTTACTCATTTGGATCACTTGGAAGTATCTGGTTTGCCTTGTGGTTGAGAAAAGTAAGTCAGCTTTCAGTCTTTCAATGATACCCTCTAAATGTATCTGTTTCTGATTGGAAAAATATTTTAATAGGAAACCAAGCATTTCTACTTTGCCAACCATACAAAGTATAAGATGATGTTTTGTGTTGATTGATTCGTTTAGGGACCTTCGCGTGATGTGTTTCATAACATATTTGATATATGAGTAATAACCAAATGTAAAAGTTATGTATTTACAACTTAGTGTTTTGGCATTTTACCATATCATGTATAAATGTGAGGAGCACTTTGTAATTCCTTATGTTGGCTTCTTCTAGGCATACAGCACACCAAAAGACGATCCAGATCTTGGGGTGGAAGAGAAAAGGCTCATACTTGGGGGCAGCGTATCAAAAGAACCTGTGACAGTTATTCCTTGGAAATTGATTTTATCAAAAGCACCTGTCTGGGCTTTAATAATCTCACATTTTTGCCACAACTGGGGGACCTTTATTCTATTAACATGGATGCCTACATACTACAATCAGGTGCTTAACTCTTTAATTTAATTTATTTTTGGCATGTTATTGTTAATGCATTTTAGAAACCACACTTCTTACATAATATAAAGACTTCAGATTTTTCTGCTTTTATTTGCATGAAACTTGTAGAATATTGTACATTACATTTCCCCATGTTTTCAATCAAGCCGAGGTTCAATTGGATGCAAGTTTTGTTTTGTCTTTTGATAAAAATGTTGTTTTTTATTTGAAATCCTTGATGTTAAGGTACATCCTAACATTTGTTCTCAATTATGTTAAAGTTGTGCAGACAACTTTTTATATTACTTGGTAAAATTTCTTTGAAGATATATTAGTCGTGCAGACACAAGATTGTGATCAATGTCTTGATCTTAACTTGAATGGTTAAGCGATGTGATCAAATAGAGAAACAGATAATTTGATTGATGTCTGAACTTTATGGGTTATTTTCTCAGGTTCTGAAGTTCAACCTCACTGAATCTGGGCTTTTATGTGTCCTTCCATGGTTAACCATGGCCATTCTTGCAAATATAGGAGGTTGGATTGCTGACACACTTGTGAGCAAAGGCCTTTCTATAACAACTGTTCGAAAGGCAAGAAAATCTCTAGTTTTGTTTCTGAAATTTTTTCATACAATGGCAATTCCTGTACAATTATTATATCTGCTTGATAATTTACAGTTTTTTCACCCTAGACTACAAATAACTGCCGAATGTGGAATCTAATATTGATTATTATGACAATATACAGGGGAATTCAGTTTCCTTTTGCAACTCTTAAAATAATTTTTCTTTAAATATTTCTTTTATTTTGCAGATCATGCAATCAATCGGATTTCTGGGTCCTGCATTTTTTCTTACGCAGCTAAGTAATGTCAGAACACCCGCCATGGCAGTACTGTGCATGTCTTGCAGTCAGGTTTGAACATATATATTTTCCTGAGTTTCAGACTCCTAAGGATTTAAAATATTTTGTTTCTAATTCATTCTGATCAAGGTAGTCAAGATCAAGTGCTGGATCGTAACATTGTGCCAAATTTACCTTTTAGTGCTACGATCTTGAAAAAAAATTTTGTGTATCTTTGTGGTCAAGATCGAGTTTTCCATAGTAAGATCGTAAAAAATATAGTGCTGGGCGCCTGGGCCTGTTTTGTTGGGCTTTTTACCAGGTCGTTTTTTTAAGTGAATCCAGCTTTTTAATTAAGTTCTCAGACTTAACCCTAAAACACCAAAAGACAAAACGGCTGCATCTTTACTTCTTACTCGGTACTATTCCTTCTCCTTTAACGATTCTTCTCTCTGCAACTTTCCACCATCATCGTAACCATTCTTCTCCCTCATCATCTTCATTCTTCTCCATCTGTGTCCACCTTCCCACTACCGTTCTTTTCCTATTAATTAAATTGGTTGAGTGTTGTGATTTATAGATTATTTTGTTCATTTATTATAATTTTTCATGTTTTTGTCGATGTGAAATTACCAGTAAAATCTTTTGTAGGCCGTCCGATCCTACTTAAGATCCCGTCCTTGACTACCTTGATTCTGATATAAAGCATATAAAACATGTTTGCACACATTATGAGCATTGCGAGTTACCTAATATATATATATATATATATATATATATATATATATATATATATATATATATATATATATATATATATATATATATATATATATATATATATATATATATATATATATATATATATATATATATATATATATATATATATATATATATATATATCACAATCTATTATTTTCTTTACAGGGATGTGATGCATTCTCACAATCTGGTCTTTATTCCAATCACCAAGACATTGGACCGCGCTATGCCGTGAGTTTCTATCTTAGTTTTTGTGTAACAAATATAGCTTATGAAAGTTCTGTACTTTTTTTAAAACAAAAAGATGTCAAACAACCAGCAATCAAGATATTGATCATGCTAAAGACTAAGGTGTCAGGGTCTTCTTGATCAAGTTGTATATTAGTGACCCTTTTTTGTGAGCTGAACCTCCAAGGATTTTGGCGATATTCGGTATTGATGCCAATTGCCAAAATTATTTTACTAATTACCATGCATCTATCTGAGTCAATCACTTAAAACATCTGTTGCCCTTATTTGTTTCATGATTAAGAAGTCATCGCGTCACGAATCACTAGTACCATTAGCATCCTGATCGTCAGAATCAAGTAGACTTATTTTCCATTGCTCTGAGTGCATGAAACCTTGATATAAATGCTTTCCATTGTACAAGTTTGTTCATGTTTTATTTTCGTATCCATTATGTTTGCATATGAATGCTAACTATTTTCAAATACCAGGGAGTGTTACTGGGACTATCGAATACTGCAGGAGTGCTTGCTGGTGTCTTTGGTACTGCTGCGACTGGATACATACTCCAACGAGGTGAGAATTCTTCACTTGTTGTATCAAATTTTTTTTCTTGTTGAGCTCGTTCATTCTAAAGTGATTTGTTGTCGCAGGTTCATGGAATGATGTATTTAAAGTCTCAGTTATATTGTACTTAATTGGCACTTTGGTATGGAATATCTTTTCAACTGGTGAGAAAATTCTAGACTGAAGAGTTTTATGATGGTGTCAAAGAAGGGGTATGCTATATACGCCATAGATATTACAAAAAGGGAAACAAAAGGAGGGAAGAACAATTAGATGACCAAATACGGCAAGCATTTGGCAACATAAAAACACCCTGCCGTGAAAACAGAAGAGAAGCAGTATCAATTTTTTTGATCGAATAGCTAGGTCTTTATAATTTTACCAGGAAGCATTATTGGATTAACATGCCTTGTCCCATAGTTTGTGGCTAGTTTCTCCCCTTGTAACTTCATTCAAGCATATTTATATTTTATATTTTACTAGGAATAATACATATTATTTGACTTGCTAACTCTGCCTAGCTTATTCGGCTGAAAAAATAGAATCTGCGTGATCGGTTGCAGACTCGCAGTTTTTTCTGACACGTTGCCTCTTATCATAGGTTCATGTTATGCATTCTAACTTCTATGGTCAGAGTCATATGAAAGGATGCTAGAGCTAGAGTTTTACTAAGAACTGTTATTTCTGAACTGTCTCTTCTATGTGACATAAATAAATCATATAGTTGAATTAGAGAGATTTCATAAAAAAACAACCACCTAGATGAGTATGAAAAAGTTGTTACCATTCAACTTACATGGTCAGGCATAGGCAAGGATATCCTAAAACCAGAATACAACTAAGAAATATGATATTTAATTTGGCCCTTGTATGTAAAAATCACAGATAGGAGTATATAGTTGAATTACAGTGCATTAAAAGAATACAAGTACAATATGAGTATGGGAAACTTGTTAACATACATCATATGAAGATGAACCAGCCAAGACATTCAAATATAATCAAATAAGGTGTTCTTTTATGAACATAATAATGTCATGAAAGCAGTAAAATTAAAATAGAAACATGAAAACAAAGAAGAAATAAAGAATTACAATTGAATATTTGCAAGGATTCTACAAGTAAGATGAACAGAGAGAAAGCATACATCCACCCCACAACCCCCATAAAAAGAAATCAATCCATCCACAATTCTCATATGAATTATATAAATTTATATAGCATACCATGAATAAAATATACCCTGTTATTTTTATTGTTTTTCTCTTGTTTTTTTTTTCCAACCCTGTTCTCTCTTCTATAATTTAAAGCCCCAAGGGCTGAATTTTAAAATTCACCTCTTTTGAAACACCACACTAACAACTTCCATTGCATTTCAAATCATTTGACACTTTCTCTTGAATCTCACCCTTCTTTTCATTTTGTATATTTGCAAAAACACCCTTCAAATCCCTGTTGTAAACATTAACCAATAGCCCATTTTTCATGAACAAGGTGAGTGACATCTTTTGTTCCACCCGGTGGCCAGGAACCACCGCAAGACGATGGCGGAGCAGAACAGCGGCGGCTATAGACTTCATCTGCAGGTAAGCCAAATCCTTCCCCAAACATATTCTAGGACCAGCATTGAATGCAACAAACTTGAAAGAGTCATGCATAATGAACTTTGTTCCATCCAATGACAACCACCTTTCAGGTCTAAACTCCATGCAATCCTCACCCCATGTAGACTTCAACCTCCCCGCTGAATATATCGAATATGTCACCGATGAACCGGCAGGAACGAAAGTTCCATCCGGCAACACATCGTCGTTCACCACATGCTTTGAATCCTCTGGCACAGAAGGGTACAACCTCAGTGTCTCAGACAGTGCAGCCTTAAGATAAATCAAACGATCAACTTCTTCGAATCCCAACGGCTCATCGGTCCATTTTTCCATGTCAGCACCGCGTGTCTCCATCAAGACCGTGCATATCTCGTGTAGGATTTTCTCTTCCACCTTTGGATTCTGAATCACCAACCAGAAAAACCAACTCAGCGCAACCGATGATGTGTCACGTCCAGCTAGGATGAAATTTAACGCCACGTGTTGAAGAAACTTGTCTGAATAAGATTCTTTCTTCCTCATAAACCTAGTCAGTAAGTCATCATGAAGAAGAGAGCCATCTTTCTGTTGACTCATCAGTTCCACTTTGCGCTTCTCGATCACATTTGACAAGTGTTCGTCCACAAAGGAAAGGCTTCGGCTCAAGCCGACTTCCATACCAAGTCCTAACCATTTCTTCACCTTCCATATCACCTCAGGTAATATAAACCTCTGAAGCGTGGCTTCAGTGGCTCGGTCGAAAGCGGCAGCAAAGCCGTTTTCAGGAAGACCAGTAGCACATGTTTGCGGGTCTCTCCCAAAAGCCAAACCACAAATATTATCAAAAGTGAGCCGGAGCATTACATCCTGTAGATCCACCGGCTCACCATGCAACTCAGCTTTCTTCAAAATCGTGCAAAGCCTATCTTTAATGGCTCGACTCACCCATCGAGCCATAGCTTGACGTAGCGTCCGGGTGGTGAATTCCAGCGCGGCTGTTTTGCGCTGGAACACCCACGTGTTACCATCAGAATTAAAGATTCCATCGCCCAACAAATCATGAAACACCGCCTGCCAAGTCGGTCCTTTCGGGTAATTGTCGAACCTAGTCTTGAGTATATGCTCCAAGTTCCTCGGGTCGCACGTGACGGTCACAAGCCCTTGCTTCCTAGCTAGAAAAGGGATTGCACAGATGCATGTCTGGTACGTGCCGCCACACGCGCGAAGGTTGTCGCAGATCCAATCATGCATACGTTCACAATTCTCAATCAGGCCGGGTAAACTGCCCAATAGTGGCCAGACACGCGGACCTCTCAACGACCGCGAGATGAACGTGAACCAAAGCAAGTAAGCTGTTATAGCCGTTAACAGCAACAGAACCGTACATGTTTCCATTTTATGACCGCACCAACCAAACACTGTCTTAAATTACTTGTCAACTTGTGTAGTATAATCTTGTCACAACTCACAACAACCCAATAATCAAAAGCTCAAACCTACAAGAAAATTCAACAAAACTTCAATACTTTTCCATAAATAAAAAACGGGGTAGCAATATTGTCATTGTCACAATCCAATTATAAAAAAACTCAACTAAAAAGTTTAATCTTTTCTCCATAAATAAACAATTATTTATAGCACAATATATCAAAACATAACCCAAGAATCAAAAACTCAAGCATACTAAACGATTGAATCAAAAGTTTAATCTTTTTACATAAACAAAAAATGGGGTGCATGGAAAAATGCATGAGAACTTAAACATGTACTATATTCACCTTCTAGAACTATTGGTTCAACAATGGTTGAAGAGAAGGTTGAGCTATATAAAGTGAAAATATAGAGTATGAAGATAAGAGAAAGTGAAGAAGAATGAGAGAGTGAAAGTGTAATATTATTATTATGAAGCAATAGATCTAAGTGTAGTATAATGTGAGTGTGTAATGGAGAAGAGATTTATAGGTGAAGAAGTTAATAAGGCCAGACTGGTTTTCTTCACATTACACCGTCTCCTCTTAATCTCATAAGATGTGTCACTATAAATGCTCTGAGAGGTTGTTGAAAAACTTTAAAGTTGAAATCACCCCACCTATTTATTTTCACTCTCTCTCTCTCTGAAAAAATATAAGCATAGTATACTACAACTAGCTAGGGTTTTTCTTTGTAATATCCCTCACTCTCACTCTCTCTCTCTCTCTCTAAGAAACTATTTTAACAGGGTGTTTAAGTGTGGCGAGCAATGAATGAAGAGAAATAAATGAGAGTAGTTGAGGAACATGGTGAAGGGAAGAACTAGGAAAAACAAAGAAGCATAAAGTTTTTGAGTTCACATACTCAAATATATACTCACCTTTTTTTAGAATAAGAGTTGTCATCTACTAATATTTCACTACTTGTAATATACCAACAATATATATATATATAGTTGAAAAAAAATAATTTTATTTAATGTTTTGCTATGAGAGGTTTGGTTATGGTTTTGGTGAGCAACCTACCAACAATTTATAACATTTATGTGGATGAACCGTTTTCTTATCTCTATGTATCCATTCCATTCTCTCATTAAAAATAATTATCTTAAAATAAATTTCATTTTTAATAATATTAATATTTTTTTAGCTGTATATATTCATTATCACCGATGAAGTTTTTTTTCATTTTTATATAATTTTTATATAATTTTTTTGTAATAATAATAACAAAAATAATAATTAATAACAACAATTCTATGATTCATCACAGTCACAGAGTTGACCTACCTTGCTCATTTATGGTGAGGTTTCAATGACCATATGGCTATACGGTTGGATAGCAAAAGTCAAACATGAGATCATATAATAATTCAATACAAAACATTTGCTCATTTCAATGTAGTGTTTTTTACGAGAAGTGTAAATTATCTTATATTGTTTTGTTTTTGGCTTATTTTCTTCCTAGTAATCTGAAAGAAAATGAAACTTGACTGATTCAAAAGCAAAGAGAGTGAGTAAGACAAGAAAGATATATATGTGAGATGAACACGTTAGAAAGAGAAAATATTAGCATATAGACGAGTTTTAGTTTTATAAGTTAACGAGGTTTTGGTTATAGTATTCATACTATATAGTAATATAATTGGTTAGTGTTGTGATTACTCCATTGTTTGAGAAATTAACTTAATTTATGGTAACTAAGTAAAGGTAATACATACAATCTAGAAGTTGATTTGTGGTGGATTGAGTAAAAGATTAAGCAAATGAACTTTGAATATCACTTTAAGACTATGAGTGAAAGTGATGAGGAAAATGACAGAGACATTGATATGAAATTAATATATTTAAAACAATATGCTTCATTGATCAAGTTAATTAAAGTGATTTCGACAATATATAATACTATTAACATGGGAAAGTAATGGTATAAAACTTTGATATAATTTCAGATACAATTTTTTAGGTGTGTTTTTTATTATTTTACGATGAAAATATGATAAATGTATAATTTTCTCCTACACATATTCAATTTTTTTTTTATATTTTTACTTGCACGAAATTTAAGTACACTTTTTATATTTTAATTGAAAAATAATAAAAATCACACTTAAAAAATTATATTAAAA